CCCTACCCATTGGCATACTAAATTTTCCATCTGAGGAATGGGTTAGAAGCATCTACAGTCATGTACAAGTCTCAAAGAACTGGTAATAGTACTATCATTTGAACTTTTGCTTGGGATACATTCAACTAAAGCACAAAGCACTAAATTTAGGTGTAATCAATCAATCAACAGGCATTTAGTAAGCACCTACTAAGTATGCATAGTAAGTGCTAGGCATTGAGGATAAAGATACAAAGAATGAAACAACCTCTATTTATGTTAGGATTATAGACATACATATAGAGCTGGAAGGAATTGGAGAACATTTAGTCCAACTCCCTGATTTTACTTGTGTAGAGACTGAGTCCAGAAAGGCTATGCAACTTGCCTGAGATCACACACATGGCCAGCATCAGAGGCAGTATTTGAACCCAAGCCCACAGATACTAGTGTTCTTTCCACTATACCAAAAACATATATTTTAATGTAGGAGATAAAAGATATTCAAAAAAGTCAAAGACATCATCAAATGCTGAAAAAAACAATAAAGGAAAGTTGCAAAAACCACTTTTCCATGGGTAGTTAAAATGATATCATTGCCATGTTCACTAAATTACTGTTCTGTTACATCCTTATAACACTGAGGGAACCCTCGACTCTTAAAGGCTTGGCCAGTGGAGTTCACTTTCTGTCAGGTCCTACCATGCTGCAAAGATTTTCAATACGGGAGGACCAGATAATGAACTGTTTGCCTGCTTGTTGCCCAGGGATCAGCTTTGGTTAGGAAAGAGTCATTACCAAGTGATTTTTTTTCCCTCTTGCCACAGCAATTCATAAAGATTATCTAATAAATCATAGTGATAATTACCCTTTTTGTCCATGAAAGGAATGCCCACCCCTGTGAAATCAAGGATCTTTCCAAGGTCAAGTGTAGATTCCTTTCTGCCCGAGGTAACAGTAAGAGAAGACCTAAATCAAACAACCTTTTATGTTCCATTCAGTTTTAGGAATCTGTGGTTCTGTGACAGATTGGATACTAGCTTTCTAGAGGTTAGAAACAGTATTTTTATATCTTTTTTCTCTCCTAACTCTAGAAGTACTTCCCCCCAGTTTTTCCCACTAATTCCTTTCTGCCTATTTCCCAGAGAAAGCTGTTTAGTTCCAGGATCAAGCAACATTGATATTAGAAAAATGAAAGTTCATGTTCTCTTAATAGCATAAGGGACCCATGTCAGAGTGTCCCAAGTGACTGTTGTATCTACTTATTGTCCTAAGAGCAATTGATAACATGAGCCAATACTCTTGAGAGGGCATATTGGCTCCAATATCCCCTCTACATTCCTCCTGAGACATTGTTGTAGATTGAAACCAAACCACAACCCTCCAGAAACAACTTGAATATCTAGAACCCCTAGAACATCCCATGGTTGCTCATGCTTCTGGGAATGCAGGAAAAGAGAAAGGTGTAGGACCATGATCAAATCCCCATCCCCAAGGTGACACCAGAGACTATGGAAGCTGCCCAGAGGCCCTGGGCCACTGCTTTGTGGAAAATATATATATAAATATTATGTTTATATATATATATATATATATATATATATACATATACAAAGAAACATACTAAACCACAAAAATAACTCCTTCCCCACATTAAAAAAAAACAGTGAGGCAGCATAAGGCACACACCTACTTACACCTGATTGGCACTCTTCCCTGAGGAAGAAAGGGTTGCCTAATGATCTAAGATTGGGTTGCATTCTTTTTTGTTGTTCAGCCATTTCAGTCCTATTTGACTCTGTGACCTCATTTGGGGTTTCCTTGGCAGATACTGGAGTGGTTTGCCATTTCCTTTTCCAGCTCATTTTACAGATGAGGAAACTGAGGCAAACAGGGTTAAATGACTTGCCTAGGATCACACAGCTAGTAAGTATGTGAGGCTGGATTTGAACTCAGGTCTTCTTGACTCCAGACCAAGTCCTCTATTCATTGCTCCACCTAGCTGCTCTAGAACTGCATTCTATGGTTCTCCATATATGGAAACAAAGTCCTGGTAGCAGTCATGGACCTAATTGAGTCTTCTTGGGCATCTTAGGCCCAAAGGAGATCCCAGGGTTTAGCCAGGCCACACAGCAGAAGAGCTTCCTTTTTCTAGGGAGGGTCTCAAATCAAGCCAGATATAAAGAATATCTCACTTAGATACTGAGACTCTAAATCTTCCTTCACACAGCGGCCCAAGTGATGCTTCTAAAGCACAGGTCTGACCATGTTACTTCCCTATTCAATAACGTTTCCTGTTACCTCTAGGATCAAATACCAACTCCTCCATTTGGCATTTAAGGGCCTTCATAGCCCAGCTCCAAACTATCTTTCCAGCTTCATTAAACCTCACTCCCCTTTACACGTTCTATAGCTCAGCCAAATTGGCCCTTTTACTCTTCCCTATACGTGACATCCCATCGCCCATCTCTCTCACATTATAGAGGCTGCATTCACTACTCATCTCCCAATTCCTGGTTCTTTCAAAGTCAGCTCAATTATCATCTCCTGTTTGAGGCCTTTCCTCACCATTCCCACCCCCAAATCCACTTGTGCTTCATCCCCCAAAATTGCCTTATATTTATTTCACATATATTTTAAACACATGCCTACGTGTACACAGTGTATCCCCTGATAGAATGTAAGGTCCTTAAGCCTAGGGATTGTTTCATTTTCATCTTTGTAACCCCAGTATCTCTCACAGCATCTGACACGTAAAAAGCATTTAATAAATGCTTACTGATTTTTGATTGACTGAATGACAGATAGGAATCAAGCATCATATTCGTTTGAACTCCGTGAGACTTCCCACTGGGGCTTACCCACCTTACTCTGTTGAAACAGCTTCACTAGGAAATTGTGCAAAGAAAGACAAAGACCTTTGGGCCCAGTAAAGGGTTCAAATGCTTCCAAGAATTCTTTGCGCCAGTCCCAGTCGCCATATATTCATACACACACACACACACACACACACACACACACACAAACACACACGCACACACACAAACACACACGTGCACGCACACACACATGCATACACACAGTCATTTCCCGGAGCAGAACATGACCGCTGAAGTTCATTATTCATATACCTCACAATTAACAATCCACAGACAACCTATTTCAACCCTGCTCAGCTTCTTCTGGGGGTTAAAGAGTAAGTAGATTACTGAGACCCCAAGACATCCCCCGTGTCAGCCTAAATGAGGCAAACTCACTGGAATGTGTCCTAGCTAAATAAGGAATTCCTGGCTTCCACGCTTTACTAGTGGAGCCATGCTCCATCCCTGAACAAATTTGGGCAAGGTTCCTTCCCTCTCTTTTATGGAAAAAATTGTATCTACTTTTTGTTGAGACAAACAAATCTAAAAGCAAAGGGAAAAAAGCCTATCGCCATTCCTTCTAGCACCCAAATTCTGAAAAGGATCAAGGTCTGTGTTCACACTGGTGACACTGAAGAACTCTGAAAGAACACTGGATCTGAAGTCAGAAGATATGGGTTCAAATCTTGGTTCTGCTTATTTATTACCTGTGTGGTCTTGGAGAATCACTTCCCATGTCTGAGCCCATGTAAAATGAAGTGGTTTGAGTGGATAACCACTAAGGCCCCTTCCAAAACTAAATCTGTTGCTTACGCGGTATTAAGAAAAGTGGGGAATGAGGGCTGTGGAGGAGAAGGAGAAGAGAGCTCCTGGGTTCAAATCTTGAATCTGAATAACATTAGGTAATCTGCTTAACTTTTTCAGGCCTCTACTTCTCCTCTGTCAAGTAAAGATACTCAATGTTGTACTGTACTAATCTTCCTTAGAAACTGCTCTGAGAAAATAACTGATGGGAATAAAAATGTATAGACTGGCAAATAGGACCAAGCTAAGGAAATATTAAATAATAATAACAATATCTAATAATAATAATAAAGAATGCCACAAGGAAAGGAAAAAGGGCAGCCTGTCAATTGCACCTCTTTAATATATTTTAAAAGTTTCCAAATAAGACGACTGATACAGTCAGTTCATTAGAAAATAAAGTGTTTATTAAGAAACTATACACTGAACACTCCTATAAGTCTCTGTGGAAACGCAATGTCCCATTGTCATAGCACAAGGTGAAAGTGATGGCAGGATAAAGAATGTTGGGATGGATGATGCCTGGGAGGCCAGAAATGAGGTAATGATTTACAATAATTAAAAAACATCCTCACGCTTACTCCTTAAAGCCACATACTTGGGAGCAGGCCCTGTTCCCTCAGGCTCAACAGGGAGCAATGAGGAATATAAGGGCTGCTATGAAACAATGGGGAGAGCTGAAAGGCTGGGGGGGGGGGGGGGGGGGGGATGAGGGGGAGGAGTCGAGTTATCTCAGTAGGAGAGACAGGGTACATCTTGAAGCCCTGGGGTGAAAATCAGCCATCCACATATAGTTTTGGGAAGTAGAGGGGAGGCTTAGGCCTCACTATGGAGGGGAGGGAGAACTTGAGAATTTTGGAGTCTTCTCCAAAAATCCTATAGAGGAATCTACAAAATCAGTCTTTTGATCTGATATGAAAACTTCTACCCAGCAGGATTTCAGAAGTGAGAATGGGGAAAGAAAACTTTAACTCTAAGACAAAATTTCCAAAAGGAATTTTAAACTTAGGAGGAAGTAGTGGAGATTGTCAAAGATCCCCAAGACTCTAAGCCCATTGCTAGACATCTCATGATTAGGAGGATACACTGCAGCCTGCATTGTATTCCTCAAAGGGGGCAGGCACTGGGGGGCTTTGGGTGGATAAGTCAAGCCAATGGGTCCAACTGGGAAGTATGTCAGGAGAATCTGATACTGCCAGAAAAAAGTGTTCATCCTTCCTTAATTATCAACACTATGCTTCATTTCTTCCAATGAGGAAAAGACCTAAAGTTGGAATATACTCTGAAAAGATACTGAGCCCTCTAGCCCTTCCTTCTCTTCACTGGATTAAAAGGTTTTGTTGGTTTTGTTGTCGGTTTGTTTTTTTTTTTCCCCAAGTGGAGAGAAGGAAAAAAAGTCCTCTCCCTTGGGGAACGTGGCCATGGAGTAAGACATGAGTCAAAGCAAACAAAGGAAACACAAATATTGACCAGAGAACAGGATTGACACTTCCATTGGTGCTGGGGAAGGGCCACAGAAGGCCAATTTTAGCTTCTTTTCCCCTTCAGTTCATCTTTGCCTTGAAGGTGTGTATAAATTGGGTTCCAAAGATTCTTAGACTCAAGAACAAGAGATAGGGAGAAAAAGAGAAGATCCAGGGATGGTGGAGAGGCAGAAAGGGCCACAGGGCCCTTGCTTCTCTGGTCCCCATGGTCTTGGCGGAGTGGCCAATTCAATGGCCTGATCTTTCCTTCCCATGGCAAAGGCAAGGCATCCTTCAGGCAAAGCTCATCAAAACAGCAGAGTTGGGGGACAGAGAGGCCAGAGAGGAGGCTAGAGAAAATACTCATCTCCCCTTGGGAGTTTTCTAACATTTGCACACACTGGGAGCCCTCCTCTTATAGAAGAGGACATAAGGAGATGGGAAGGGAGGATCATTTCAAAGTAAGTACAAATTTCTCCACCGAAGGGGAAAAAATGGTTTTCCCTTCTTCCCTCTGGGACCCTAAATCGATGCCAACACTCAAGTCTGGCTTTTCCTCTCTTACCAGGCCGTCTCCACCTCTGCGCAAGTGCTGTCTGTGGCTCTTCCCCAGTCTGAGGTCACATGGGTGGCAGCGAGGTCACTAAGAGGGCGACATGATGTCCCAAGGAGAGCCAGGGAGACCCACAAGCATTCAAGTGAGGAAAGCAAAGCCAGAGGATGGCTGGGCTCTGCCAGGCTTGACTTTTGCTGCCGAAGAGGTGGTGTTTATTTTATTTTGTATTTTTTTTTGAAAAGCAAGAAAACTAGGTGTGTTTAAAAGTTAGCTCCTAGAGCACTGGTTTTGTTTTTTGTTTTTTAATTTGCTTTATTGGTTTTCACCGTGGTGGTGCCTTGAAGGAAAGTAGAAGGAGCACAGTGATCATTGGAGAAAAAGGGCAACCCTGCCATTGGCCAATGGGAGACCACACATTTCTGTTGGTATTAAAAGGTGTGTTTGTAGGGGAGTGGAGTGCACACAGATGGTTTGCAAAGTGTTCTGTTTAGCAGCCCTGGATCCAAACAGAACAATGGCCTACTGCTTCCAACCTCTCTTAGGGCCCAGCCTACCAAGGTGACATCAGACCAGGGAGGCTGTAAAGGAGTTCTAAAAGCCATGGCGTCCTTTGCTGAAATAAACATTGACATCCTCAACATAAATGCCACGGTTAAGAGGCTTGGGATGGCCAGGAAGGCTTATTGGATTCAACATAACTTCTCTGAAACCTAAAAACAAAACAAAACAAAACAAAACAGAAAAAAGAAAAAAATAAAGTAAACCAAAAAACCCAAAAGAAGATCCAAACTAAGGGACAGAAAACAGAGGGGAGATTGAAAAGGGGACAGCTAAAGATATAGTCAGAGGTAATACTGAGGTATATTGTGAATAGTAAAATCAATTAACAGCAAAAAGGGAAAGGTGAGCGGAGGGGTTGGGATTGGGGATGAAATTAAAACCAAGCACTGTCCGAAGGACTGGAAACACCCTCTGCTGCTGCCTCCACTGGACACCTCCAATTAGCCTGGGAAAAGGGTGTGGGGAAGTCAGACTACCTAAGGAAGAAGTCCTGGCCTGACCCTAAGAGAGCTCTCTAAGTCTCTCTAAAATTGGATTTCCCTCTCCCTGGGAAGAAGATTAGATTTCTCCCATTTCAAGTCTGGGGTAAGGTGACTTCTTGAAGGAAAAGAAAGTCTTGTTAAGGGACAGAATGAATATTGCCCACAAGTTAAAAGCCCCTTGCAAGCAATGAGGTGGGGAATAGATAAGAAGAATGGCCTTGGGACTGGATCACAAACTACCACCTCTGCAGAACAGAAAGAGAAAGCTCTCTTCATCTAAGAACTGTATCCTAAAGTGAGACATTATCATTTCTACCACTAGCAACCAATAGGAAAAATGTCACCTCTCACATGGCACAATAACTGTGACACACACACTTATGTGTATTTATATATACATACAAATATATACATATATACATATATATTATATGAATATATAGAAAGGAAGGAAGGAATTTTTCTGAGAGTATCATTTTTTCTTATTTGACTACTCTATTCAGTTCCACCAAGGCATGGAATAAAAAAATGCACCTGACCTCTTAGCCTTCCCATGATGTCAAATCAGATGGGGATGAAATCATCCACACAGGATCAACAGAGGAAGCAACCAGATTCAAGGGTGGTGACCTCCTTAGAGTAACAGAGAAAGGATCCTCAAGCTTGCCTCTTTTTCTCTCTACAGAGCTCTGGGCTTAATAAAGAAGAGAACTACTAACTCAGGTAACCCAAAGCAGATTCCCAAGTGGAAATTGTTTTTTAACTTCAGATTAAAGTGAACATTGATATGAACACAACAAACTTGCTCTGGACTAAAGGATATAAACTGTGTATAAGCATGCATGCATAATTGTGTGTGTGTGTGTGTGTGTGTGTGTGTGTGTGTGTGTGTGAGAGAGAGAGAGAGAGAGAGAGAGAGAGAGAGAGCAGGAAGGGATAAGGGTAAGGATGTGGTTAAGAAAGGAGGGAAGAGGAGGGGAAATAAAGAAGACATCAATTGATCTAGAGTGCTTTTTTCACGTGTCATATTCTGTCCCATAAATCCCCTACCTCTGGCCCAAGAAGCCATTGTAATCAAAGCAGGGCTGAACTGCTAAGTTCCAAGTATTGAAACACCTTAGGCAGGAACTCAGGGTACTATCAACTTCTGCAGAAGATGGGATCAGGCTCTTTCTCATATGGTTGTTTCGATGAAAAGAATTTGGAGAAGAAAAGTAACTGAGAACAACATACTCAGTGGAACATGGGTCCTCAAGGGAGAGAATAAAGGTGATGGGGATGGGGAAAAAGGAAGGTGAAGTTACTCTGAGCTTTATTCTGAAGCTGGGTAAAGCTATTCCTTCCTATTCTCTTTTTGCTCCATTTTGACCTCCCCCACAATTCTACCTGAGATACTCAAGTAGTTTTCTCCTTCTGAGGTTTCTCATATATATAAGATTTCAGTGGTGAAATTCCACCCGATTTCAGTTGTGTACTGGGATGGCACTTTATAGGTATGGAGAGTTAAGGCCTGATGAAACCTTCAGATATTTAGAATCAAAGGACGGAAAATAATTACTAGGCACAATGACCTAAACAAATAGCTTCCCTGAACCCTGACAGTGGTGGTGGGAGGTAGGAGGAAGAAAAAAGCTAGTATTGAGCCCCAGTTGCATACAGAAGGGAAATTACTTCCCCAAGGCTTATGGCCAAAACTAATGATCAAACCAGAATCAGAGCTCAAGGCCTTCCTAGCTCCTACATTCAAACTGCTCTGCTTGTTTGAACACCTGGTCCATCTGACACACATGGTCTGTGCTCATATCCTTGAATCTAATACAACCAGATGCAGAAATTGGCTCTATCTCTTTCTACAGGTTAGAAACTGAGGAGGAAGGGTCATATTGGATTTAGTCATGCATAGAGTTGAGATCCCTTAGTCTAACTTATTTCTGCATCCCCACCCCAACAACACACACACACACACACACACACACACACACACACACATTCCTGTACTAAGAGCTGCCACCATGGGTACCCAACACTGTTACTCTATGAACCAGAACGGTTGCATCTTTGCATGCTTGGACCTGAGCACCACAGACATAAGAAGCCCTAAATCAATCCCCTTTCTCTAACAGTAAAGAAACAGCTAATTTCCAAAAAGAAGTAGAGTTGGTTCTTCTCATCTTTTGGAAACTAGGTACCCATGTGAGGAAGGTAGAGTTATCTTTTATCCTGGGAGGGTTGTAAACATAAGGAATGACTGAGATGCCTGCACCACCTGGGACCCTACAACTCTAACCCCTGGGAAACAGTTATTCAATAGTTTCCGCTGTGAGAGTGGGAGCCACTCCAAAGAGATTCCAATCCTGACCAGCCACGCAGTGTCCGGGGGCCCTTTAAGGCTCCACGTCGGATTCATTAAAGAGGGGGCCAAGAACTGCTGGCGTCCTTGCCAAGGTATCCGCTGCTGCCTTCATGAACATGAGCCCGTTCCCATATGAGCTGGGATCCGAAGTTTGTTTTCTCTGGAACTCCTTTTCGGGTGGAGCAATTCCAAGATTCTAAATGCTGAAGTCTGATAGCCTGAGAGGCACCACTCCAAGTTTCCTGGTTCCTCCCCCTCTCCCTAAGAAAAACCTCTGGGCAGAAAGAAAATGCATTTACTGTTACTCTCTGTCTGGGGTTAGGGGTGTTTGTATGTGTGTGTGAGGGTGGGGGGGACAGTGACTCTACCACAGGGAAAGACTGGGCTAACAACTGACTGGCAGGTGGGGAAGATGGATGAGTATACCTTCAGGGGTAGGAGGCTTCCTTCCAGGAGAGGAGGCCTGCTCTGCTCCTTCTACCTCAACCCTGCTCAACAGTCAATCCCCTTCTTTCTTCACCTCCCCCTAGGCTACCAAAGATTTAGATAAAGCTGCTTGTACGCCCTGGAACCGAGCCTGATCTCCAAGAGCTTCTCAGGTGTATTTTTATGAGAAACAAACCAGACACTCTGAGGTCATTTGGGGAAGATGGCGTGTATAGCTGCGAGAGGGAGGGAAGGAGGATTGTTAAAGGATAGGGCAAGGAGTGGGGGACAACATCACTGTGTACCCACTGAACCTGATAAGGGGTTCAGAACGTGTGCCTCTAAAGATTGGGTTAAATCCTCACAGGTGAGTCATGGGTTTCCAGGCCTCCAAAGCAGAAGAAAATATCCTATTTCCTGTGTCAGCTAATAGATGTTTTGGGCAGAAAGTAGAGGAGAGGTGCCTTGAGAACTCTGTCTGTCTAGACAATCTCACCCCCTCCCTCCTTATATTCCCTTCTCTAGGTTTCATTCAGGTCTTTATGAACAAGTGTAAGAGCCCTTTCCTTGCAGTATCCGCCATCTGGAACAACCTCGCTGAATCTTCTGCCTACAGGACTCTCCATTGCACTTCAGATCCCAGAAGTCCTCTCTCCTCCTAGCCTCTCCCCTCTTGCTCTCTCCCTGTTATTTGTTATGTGACCATAATTTTATTACCTAACTCCATAAATTGCTTTGGGTTATAGCGGGATAAAAGACCCAAAACTAAATGGAACTCAATTGGATTATTTTCAAACATTTCCTTTTCAAACTTATTCATTTGTCATCCTAAAGTTGCTGCATAACAATAACACTTAGCATTTACACAGTACTTCTTGTTTGAAAAGTACTTTGTAAGTACTAGTTGCCTCCAGAAATGGGCCCTGGTTATGATCAGTGACAATTTATCGCATAGAAAAATGAGGCAGAGAGGTTAAGAGAATTGCCAAAGTCATACAAACAGTGGTGGTGGGCAAAAAAAAAAAAAAAAAGATGTCAGATCTTCAGGACTCTCATTTTTAACTCTTCTAAATCAGACAGGGAGGCTATACGTGGCTTTCTTCTTTCTTTCTCTAAAAAATATAGAGTCTTTCTGTCCCTATGTTCCTGAAACTGGGCAGGCTTGTTTGGGGAGTATGGCCAATGATGATCAAGTAAGGAACAGAAGAACTAGGGCATGCCAAGCTATAGTGATTCTGCCAGTGTGCTTCACTTTCCACAAGATTCTCTGGAGTTCAGAGGTTCACATATTGAAAATTAGTGACAGGGAAATAAAAATTCTCTTTCTTAGAGACTGGGGAAGAGAAATTAAAGAGAATGGGGGAAGAAGGAATAAACCAAATTCCAGGCAAAAATGCCAAATCAAGTCTTACCTGGGGTTTTCCTCCTTTTTTTTTTTAACTCTCTACCTTAACCTTCATTAGTAAGCACCTCAAAACTAGTAGGGGCATGGACCCTTTTGATCTTTGTACAACAACCACTAGTCATTAGGAGATGTAGAGTCAGAAAAGAAATCAGAAGCTATCCAGTCTAGCTCTCTTGGTTTACAGAATAAGAAACTGAGGACCAAAGAGTTTAAGTGACTTGTCCAAAGTTATACCAGGATATGCCAGGAGCCAGGATTAAAACTCAGGTCTAGTATTACCAAATTCTTAGCCTAAACAGGAATATCCTCTTTCCTTCTCCTTAGTGCACCAAAGGTAGGAATTGGAGTTTTCAAAAGGATTTCACCCTGAGGCCATTTTGGGATGGTGGGAGGTAGAGAGTTGGAGAGGCAAATGAGGTCTTTTTTTTTTTTTCACTCTCAAGAGTGCAGAACTGGTCAGGTACAGAGTACAGGATTATATAA